CACACACACACACACACACACACACACACACACACACACACACACACACACACAAACACGCACACACAACATGATCGTAATCAACGGCTTGATAGACTGCCCTCCCCCTTCGTACCGGCATGCCCATGCCCCGCGCATTTTTTTCCCATGCCCCGGCCATGATCGCGTGAATTGACACGCAACCTCGCTCCATCTGCGCCCGTCTCACAGATTGGCGTGGGTGCGAATCGACGCCCTGACGCGTGCACTCTCGCAAGCGCGTCCTTTTTCCCACAGGCCCTGTGTCGTTTCGCGTCGGCGCACGCGACGGCTGGCCCCGACCGTGATCTTTTCCCACAGGCCCTGTGCCACACGCAACGGCCGGCCCCGACCGCGATCTCACCATTTGGCACACAACCTCCCTCCTCCGGTTCCGCCCCGTCCCGTGGTTTTCCATGGGCCCACGGCTGCGTGTGACGGCGGGACCGCTATAACTTTTAGGTGTACAGAGATTATATACATACAATTGTGGTTAGGATCCAGATGCCCAAATGACCATCCAGGATGACCAGATCCAGATGACCAGGTCCGGATACATTGACATTAATGATGAATGACACCTTTGGGTTAATCCTGAGAACAATACTCATGCTCTTAGACAATAGCGCACGAGACAGAGCAAACGGCTACAAAAATGAATAGCTGTCCTCTTCATCCCATTGCAATCAGACTTGCTTTCATTCACACTTTACATGTATGCAAACAGTAGCGCAGCAACTGGCGACATGCGCCCACTCAAAACTCAAAGATATGGCAACCCAGATACGAGTTCACTTTCAAAGGCTATGGCGACTCAGCACCCAAACAACTCTTTGTTCGCATACACCGGATCACCCTGGATATCCCACACGCATCTCCCTGAACACTCGCACACACACACGCACTGAACTCTCAACTACAGCTATGGCGGCTATGGCCGCCTCTACCCTATCGCTATGGCTAAGCTTCGTCTCCCTTGCCCACTTCGTCTTCGGGCTCACTGCAGACCTCCTTGCACAAGTCGCTGTGGCAGCGCTTCCACATGGCTCACGCAGGAATGAATGAATGGCTGGGCGCTGCCTCTTGATTTATACTTCTGCAGCTCGTTGGTCTGGCCCTTTTCCCATGCCCGAAGTGCACACAGTCCCATGCGGTACTTGCTTGACTGACTGGGAGCTGGGACTGTTGACTCAGCACGGTAGACTTCCACCACTTGCCCACTTGCCTCACCACTTGGCCACTTGCCCCTGCCTAAACGTGGGCAACTTCGAAAGGCCACTACTGGGACCTTCCGGAAGGCTGTAGAATTGGCCTCTCGTGACTGTAGCAGCTACGACTCTGACCCTTCTGGACTGTAGCAGCTACGATCTCGACCTTTCGGGAATGCTACAGCTACGACCTCTAGACCTGACTAAAGCTCCTACTCGACAGGTCTACAGTTCGAACCCCTGCGACCTCAGGACCCTACGACACTCTACCACTGTTACAAATACACAGGTCACGGGTTCAACTCTAAGGGTCGACACTGATACTATACACAGGTAAGGTTGGGGTCTAGGGATCGAACCCTGGGATCTGCAGCAGCTACTGATAACTGGTGAATACCGTTTCACTCCCGCCGTCCTAAATTCAAGGTCCTCTGAGAATAATTCAGTCCAAGGCAGGACCTTTACCTCTCTAATCTCTATCGTAGGCTCTAACAATGTCGGGAGCTGTTTCTAGAAGTTCCGATCTCGTGAACCAGCAGTCATCCTTCGGCTCCTGATATGCAAACCGGACCTTGTACTGTTTCTGGGGACGACCTCTACCTCCCGTCCTGAATACATCTTCACCTACAATGCCGTCAATGTCTTATCTGCCATCCATGTCTGGTGGGATCATGGACCGCCTAGATGGGAACTGTTGACTGGTGACACACGGCAGCAACTTTGATGCGTGAAAAACAGGGTAGGTATGGAGGTGTGCCGGGATCTCTATTGTGTAGGACGGCCCATCCTCTCCGCCCTTTACTTCTAGAACTGGCCACGGTCCTCTATACGCGGGCAGTAACTTCTGCGAGATGTTCTCCTCAGGTGCAAACTCTTTAGACTTCACCCAGACCAGGTCGCCTACCTGAAACTGCGATGGGCGACGGTGCTTATTAGCCTGTTCTATCATGCGGTGCTGGGCCTTCCCGAGGTTCTCAACAACAGTTGTTATCTCCTTCTCGTGCTGTATCGCGAACTCCCTGGTACCGGGCGGTAGCCTGTGAATCTGATCCCGGTTCAGTCCTTCAACAGTCTGCGCGGTCTGAAGGATTTCTGCAGCTCATTGAGAGTGCGACAGGTGGACAAATGCACGCTGTTATTGTATGCACTGGCTACCTTGGGTAACATCTCGTCCCAGTTGATCTGTCTGACCGTTAGTCTCTGGATGGCGGCCAGACGACATCAGCAACTTCGACCCATAGACTCTCATAAGTTCCTGCCAGTTCTGGCTGGTGAAGCGACCGTCTCTATCGCTAACTATGGATAACGGGACTCCATGTTCACTAACCCAAAAATCAAAGAACTTATGTATTACTAACTCTGTGCGTGCCTCTGCAGGCAAAGGAACAAAAACAGCATATTTGCTAAATCAGTCAACTATGACCATGACTTGGCTCTTGCCATGCCTACTCTTGACCTGAGTATCCATGAAGTCTATGGACACCGAGTCTCCAGGTTGATCAGGAATAGGCAAGGGTCTGAGAAGACCTAGGGGCGTGCGCATAGTAGTCTTATTCCTCTGGCACACGTTACAACTGCGAACATACTCTATGCAGTCATTCTTCATCCCTGGCCAGGTATACGAACACATCAGATTGGCTAACGTCTTTTGCCAACCGAAGTGTCTCTCTGTGTCATGGCATTCCCCTGGGATCAGACTACGGATCTCCTCGCTGTTGGGAACGCGTAGACGGTCTACTACATCAGTCTTTTCAAACAGCAGCCCGTCTGTAGTGCGGTAATCTGGTTCAGTCTTTGGGGCCTCTCTAACGCTCTTTAGGAGGTCACTATAGATAAGGTCCTGGGCATACGCCTGCCTCACTTTCTCCTGCAGGTTTCTCCGCATACGCCTGCCTCACTTTCTCCTGCAGGTTTCTCCCTATATCCAGATAGTGCACTATAGCTCCAAAGTAGTCTGATCTTCTACTCAGAGCATCCGCAACTACGTTATACTTGCCTTTGACGGGTTTGAGCTCAAAGTCATACTGGTCTATCTCAGCGGCCCACCTAGTCAACTTAGGTGTCATCTTGGCCTGTGTTTTCAACCATCTAAGTGTCTCATGGTCTGAATACACTTTGAAGTGCCTCCCAAGCAGGTAATGCTTCTAGTGCTCTAAAGCCTGCCTGAGAGCGTAGAGTTCCCTCTCGTACGTCGAGGTAGCAACCTTCTTTGAGGGCATCCTCGCTGACATGAACTCTACGGGTCTGTAGCCATTGCCGTCATCCTACTGTAACACGGCGCCTATCCCATACTGACTCGCGTCCGTGGTGACGACAAATGGCAGAGACGGATCTGCTACTTTGAGGACAGGGTACTCTATCAAAGCGCGCTTTAATTTCTTTAGCGCACACGTACAGTCTTTGTCCCATTGCCAGATTGCCTCTTTCTTAAGCAACCTGCGCAAGGGAGTGGCGATAGTAGAGAAGTTCCTCACAAACTTCCTATAATAGTTGGCTAAGCCCAAAAACGACCGCAACTCTGTCAATGTGTGGGGCGTCGGCCAATCTCTAATTGCCGCTATCTTACTGTCCTCAGGCTTGATTCCATCTCCGTCTAATACGTGGCCCAAGTACAAAACTTGTGTCTTGGCCCACTCGCACTTCTTCGAGTTGATCTTGAAATTTGACTCTCTCAATTTCTCCAAGACCTGCCTCAAATGACCCTGGCGCTCTTGGAGGGTCTTACCGAAAACTAAGATGTCGTCTAAGTAGACTACGACGAACCTATCCAACCAAGGTCTAAACAGATCGTTCATACAACGCTGAAATGTAGCTGGCGCGTTGGTCAGTCCAAAGGGCATCACTATGAACTCATAATGCCCATAACGAGTCCGGAACGCAGTCTTGTACCGGTCATCAGGATGGACTTCTATCTGATGATACCCGGACTTCAAATCTATCTTTGAGAAGTACTTACAACCCTCCACCCGATCTAAGAGATCGTCTATCCTGGGCAGCGGCCCAGCATTCTTCACTGTGACGGCATTCAGACCCCTATAGTCTATACACATACCCAACTCTTTTTTCTTCTTGGGGACGAACAAAACTGGTGCTCCAAAAGGAGATGAACTGGGCCTGATCCAACGTTTCTCGAGGAGTTTGTCTAATTGCTTGCGCAACTCCTCTAACTCTCTAGGGGACATCCTGTAGATTTCTCCCTTAGGAGTTCTACTGCCAGGCTCTATCTCTATCCTGTGCTGAATTGGCCGCAACACTACTCCTGTCGGCGGCTCGGTCAAATCTTTGAACTCCTACAGCAGCTTGGCCATGGTTGGATCTGTGGAACAAACTTCTTCCTTAGGCTTAGTGACAGGTCTGACATACACTACAAAGACCTGATCCTCCAGTTGCTCCTTTTTCACTAGTCGCGTGAACGCGGGAGCACTGAGACAGCAATGTGCTAGAGTGTTGTCTACACCTAACACATGGAACAGGCGGGCAGTCTTAACCTCGCCTGATGGACTAGGGAGCCTACACTCATGCTCTCTCAAATGGAGTGTGGCCCCTGCTGCCTCTCCCCAATCCATTCCTAACACTATGTCGAAAGGAAGGTCATCCTGCACGAGGAGAGTCAGGGAATGGAGAACTTTCTCCACCTTCCCATCTTTCTCTAGGCGAAAGTACGCCTGGACTCCCTCTACATAGTCCTCAACACTCATAGTGCGGTTGTCTGCAAGGACACTGAGTATGGGGTCTGCCAACTTTTGGACTTTTGATCCCAGCCTCAGCTTCTTCGGCGCTCTACGGCTAATATAACTACGGGTAGCCCCTGAATCTATGAGGGTTTTTACTCTACTCTTAAAGACTTCTACGTCAACTAAAATTAGTTGTCCTTTGCTTTCTTTTTTCATTTTGGCCCAGGCAGGCATCCTCTCCTTCAACTCTCCTGCCACGCCTGTGAGGGATGTGCCTAGAGAGACGCTAATACAAGCAGTCTTCGGACAGCTAGCTAGGCACGGGCCTGCAACCTCTGCCATAGGCTCATGTGGTTTGGGAGTATCCTGTTCACGCGCGCTCACTTCCGCACATGGCCTTGGAGGAGGGGCAGTTGCAACCCCTACTGGCGGCTGCCTTTTGACTGTTGGGCAGCCCACCGGGCCTGTCTGTACTGTGGACAAAATTTAATTACATGGGCCGGGTCACCACAAAACACGCACTGACCCAAGTCCAAGCGTTCCTGCCATATGCGTTGGTCCAAGCCTAAATCGTCCCAAGGCCTGCCCTGCGGCAAGCCTGAGTGTCATCGTCCTTGAGGTGGCCTTCCGCCTCGTCGCTGCAACAAGAACCTTGACGATTTGGCGGGGGACCTTGACCCCTGCCTCCCACTTGGCAGTTCCCTTGTCCGCCAACCCCCTGTGCGCCCGGTCCTCGGCCTCCCATGGCCTGGCCCCTTTGGCCCTGGGCTCCTCCTCTACCTTGCGGCCTCCCTCCAGCCATGAGAGCAGCATAGGACCTCCCCTGCCCCACGCTACTGTCCTCATCCTCGAGGCCCCACTCAATCTGACTATATGGGACCTCATTTGTACCACCTTCCTCTAAAGTAAGGATCATGTGATCCTTGGCCCTGACTTGGCCAGAGATGGTACGGCCTTTCCACTTCTTCCCCTCATCCAAGTCCTTGTGCCAGAAAGTGGACACTGGCATGGACTTCGACTCGAACAAGACCACCTCTCTACTCAACACATCATATGTGATGCCGGCCTGTTGAGACTTATCAAAGAAATGCCCACGCAAGGGCTCCGGCATGGCACGATAAAATAACTGGACCAACTGGGGCTCAGTGACCCCATGGTCTGGGACGACTACCAAGTCGTCCATGACACCCTTGAGTGCTCTTGCACTCCTCCACTGTAGTGAGTGGATGCTCTGTAACTTATCAGAGGCTCTAACGTCTCTCGTCGGGTCAGCAAATCTCTCCCTCGGGAGTTTGAAGAATTGAGGAAGGGGGGTGATCTTAGAATATGCAACCAGGTTGTTTTCACAACCGGCCGCGCGCACAAGGGACCTGGCAAAGTTGGCCGCTTCGTCTTTGAGGGCCTGAAAGGCGACGAGGACTTGCTCCTCAGTCAGAACGTGTTGTAAGTACACATAACTATTTACACTGGCCTCCCAGTTATCAAAATTCTCCTCTTTCTTCCCGCCGTATGTATCTGGAAATTTAAGCTTAATAGGGTCTTTGCGGGGTCTCGCCTCGCTCTTGACAGCGGCTACTGTGTTGGCACCCTCAATGGTGCCCTCACAGAATTTCCCCACGTTGTCTCTCAATCGTCTGACTTCGCCTCCAACGTGGGTGACCATATCGCGCGCAAAATCTCTAAATCCTGACCGCATGGCACTCAGGGCCACATCGTGACCCCAATTGGCTTGGCGCTCCTCCATCCAGGCAGCACTCAACACTTCCAAATAACCCAGCATCTTATCCATTTTGGCATAGATGTCTGCCTGCGCCTGCACCTCTTGTCTACAGTCTCTCACCTTTGCCACTTCCTCGGTCAGCCTATTAACTTCCTCCCTCCTCCTCTTCTTTTCCCTCTTCATCCTCAATTTCTACTCCCAACTTTTTCTCCTCCTCTGCTTCTTGCCGTTCCAGGGGGTCCTCGATTGTTGCTAGCGCGCTGGCTAACGCGTCCCTCTCATCCTGTGGCACATACAACTGTGCCTCCTCATCTTCCCCCAATGATAAGTTAGCAATCCACTCACTAATCTTCTTCTCCATCACTGCATCCTCATTCGTCGTGCCACTACTTTCTCCTTTTACTTCCCTGCGTTTTCCCTCTTCCTCCGCTTCTGCTGCTGCTTCTTCCTCGACAGCCTTCTTCTTCTCCTCCATCTCCTCCTCCAACTTCTTCATCTTTGCCGCCTGCTCCTCTGCGATCGCTTTCAGTTTCGCCTGCTTCTGGAGTTCTTTTCTCTCTTTATTCTCTCTCACTAAGGCGGCCATCTTTTCTTGTTGTTCCTGGGTATAGGGGCTAGTGCTCTTCCCACTACGGGTCTCAACCATGGTGTTAAGTGCACAACCGGATTAACGGTTCCAAACCTCACCACGTAGACTCTAACCCCTGACTGACAAACCTACTGACTCAATCTAAAGACTCACAGAATCCGGACAGGGATCCTGTCAACTAGGGTCTCTAGCCTAGACCTACACTATGGCTGTCACTACAAGACCTGTTGCTGATCAGGAGGCATTTAAGGAGATCCCCCATAACTCCTCAGGAATTATTCAACGTCGCAAACAGGATGACGCGATCAGCAGGTCTCTCAACACTTAGATTGCCTGTTGCGCAGCCCACAACTCAGCCTTTCGGGCCTACCGTGCCACACCGAGCAGCCCCCCGGTCAGTACCGGTCCTTGGAAGGGTTAGGCCTCCGGGACAGTCGAGTCGTCAAACACAGTCTTTAGCCCTACTTGGTCCGGTAGGGGTTTGGTCAACAAGGCCTATCCTTCATCCATAGAGTTCTATCACCTGGATAGAAGAGTGGGTGCAAAAAGAATAGACAGACAGACTGGACTCAGCAAGTACCACAGGGTATGTGCACATCCATAGGGCAAGGGATAGGTTGAGGGCTTGGCGAGATTATACCGGCTCCGCCTTGATCAAACTCGTGGTCAACGGCTTGGTCAACGCCGGTCAACGCTACAGTCGACCCCCGGTCAACCCTCGGTCAACTCCAGTCAGCATCCAGTCAACGCCTGGTCAACTCTCCCGGTCAACTCCTCCGGTCGGCTATGGCTCCCGGCTTCACTTTCTCTCACCAACCTTCTTCTTCCCTTCACCTTCCTCGCCTCCTTTCACCCCGGTTGTCTCCTCTCTTCCTTCTTTTTTTTTTTTTTTTTTATCGTCTCTCTCTCTTTCTCACCTCGGCTATGGCTTCTCTCTCCCTTCTTAGTCTCTCCATCTGTCCACTCTCTCTCCCTCCTTCGTCACTCCGTGGTCAAGCTCTGCGGCTATGGCCTTCCTCTTCTTCTTCGCGGGACTGCACTTCACAGGTATGTAACAACCAAACTTGTATCGCTCATCTCTCTCTCTCTCTCTCTCTCTCTCTCTCTCTCTCTCTCTC